TGTTCCCTCAAACTTTTTTTCTTGCTGAGCAAAACTTTTCTCTATTGGGCGGACATTTCGGCCACCTGAGCAAAAAACATTAATTATACCAGACCTGTACAGCGCACACAAAAAAGTGTGTAACTTTTAACTTTAATGTGCTATTTATATTTGATTTGACCCTTGTTGTAACTAAAGGATGCACATTTTAGGTTACATGAGAAAACATTTTTAGCACTGTGTTACTTACCAAGAAATTCTATTACAAATAATTTAAAAAAAAAATCTCACGCAGAACAGCTCAATTCTTTATAATAATACAATATAATATAGCTATAATATAATATAGCTTTTTTTGTTGTTGAAAAAATTAATCAGTTATTGCTCAGGAATTCCCTGTTTGATGTCAATTATTTATTAGGCTTATAATATATAAAATATAATATAATATCATTTTATATTATATAAAAATATAATACAAAAAATATTTTCAATAAATATTTCAAAAAACGTGAACGTGAATTCTTTTACAGTTATCTAAAACATCCACATGTAGTAGAGTTTGCGCACTACTACACCTGTGTGTGACTGTAAATGTCTTGGAGTTTTGTTACTGTTCTGTGCCCATCATCCGCTATTTCCACCACTTAATCAAGCATGATGACATTTTATTTCACATGTCATTACGTTTGTGTTGGCATGTGTCGAGCTATTTCATCCGCAACCATTAAAGTACTCAATTTCTACAGCGACTGATTTGGCGCACATCATTCTCTTTCTATGAAACCTATAAACCGCATTCACCGGTTCTAACTCTAGCAACACCAATTTAATAGCGGTTTGCACGAGCATTCCAATTATTTTGCATTTACTAGAATTCAACCAAATGGCTTTCCCAATTCATTTTTGCGTGTGTCCTGTGCGCAGCATATAACAAGTGTGCTCAGCTTAGAGGGAACATTGGCTGTACCTCGAGGAGACAATGCAATGCTGGATTTATAGCGGCGTGGATGGGGACGCATCAGGTGCACCTCATCAGACTCTGCTATCATTGTGACTACCCTCTGGACCACCCGCTCTTGTCATGAGCCTGAGCACAGGCCATCCGTTAGGGCTGGGACGTTGATGATTGAGGGGATGTGTATCCCCTCCGTCAGTCCGTCTACTGAAATCCTACTCATATCAACTAAATGTGCCGTATTCATTTCACAAATAAACAAAACGGTTATGTTTCCCCTGTAATGTTGTACTGCATGATGTGAGCTCATAGATAAAAAGGGAAAAATCCCATGTAGACGTTTCTTTGGCTGTGCCCACTGAGCCTGCTAGGCGGACTGCCAGGATTCTGTTGCTAGGCGACCAGGAGTGCCGTGCCATGTGGCTTAGTTGCCTCCTCATGTTGAGCTGATGGCGCTGGCTGCCTAGTTAGCGCTTGGAGTCCCACCTCGGGCAGCAACCCACCCAGGCAGAACTTTCAACAGTATCTGCACATATGCTTTTCCTATAGACCTGCTGTCAGATTCCTGGACCAGAGTTCCTATTTCATGAGGCAAGCATCACTGTATTTCTCTAGATTTAGGCTAGCGGTTTGAACAAACCCATAATTAATTATTAAAGTTAAAAAAACTGTTTTGTTTGTACTGCAAACATGAATGATTCTCGTCACCTTTTGACGAAATTTGCTGTTCTGACATTGAAATAGGCCATTCAAGTGATTTGTGCATATCGAGGAGTATTTTTTTTTCCGTAAAAATATTATATGGATTTATCTCTGAAAAGAAAAATGTTGATGGCATTTTCTTTGCATCCTGCCTGCATATAGGCCTAATGCCTAATAAAGAAGTGATTATAAGTGCTTTGTGTATGGGGTAACTGGGGTAACTGCTGTATTTCTGCTTTTCCATGAGCAGCTCCGATTTTCAGAGAGTGAATTTGCATTTTCATTCAGCCTGTCTGCCGCATTTGTTCAGACCAATACAAAAAAAGTATATAGAATTAAATATGAATTAATATATTTAAATCAAACATAATAAACATGATCATTTGCCATTTTGACTCGTGAGAAATGTGAGGTTTTGTGAATGTTGTTTTTGTCAAAACCTGTATTATTTGAACTAAGTTGTTTGAATTATCATTTTATTTTACAGTAATTTCACGGTTAATGCTACCATAGACATAGAAATTGTTTTGAAACCATGTTACTACCTAAACATATAGTTCTAATCTAATATCATAATTTTAGAATTTTTCAAACAATTTCTACTTCTGAGTCCAATACAATTGGAATATCGATGAGTGTTGTCTGTATTATAAGACACAAAATATCTAACATATATTAAAATATCACCTTTTTTACAGGTACCTAACAAAAGTGTTGTTACTTTTCAAAACAACCAGACAAATTTGAATGATTTTTTTACCTGGCAGAACAATATAATGGGCAAAAAAATTCTACTTGAATATAATAAAGACTTTACGCTCTCTTGATTTCAGCTAGTAAGCAGCCATCCGGAACACCTTAGCAATTGTAACTTGGCTGTTGATCTGAGTCAAACTATCAGCTCTCCTCTTGTGCTTTTCTCATGCGTCTCATGTTACTGACAGGGCTTGTCTCCCATTGCTCGTTCAATGGAAGTGATTCTATTGGAATGCTTATTGATCCCACATATGTCAACAGTGTATTAGGATCCCTTGACTCTACATAGCAAACAAGTGTGTTCAATATGGCTTGTTATTGAAAGCTTAATTTGAAACACGCTCCTATTTTTTCATGCTTTTTTGCACTGCATAAAAGTGACTTTCTCACGCTTTTAACAGAAGCTGGTCTCTCATGGAAATAGGCATATAATGGAACATTTGGGGTTACATCATGATGTCAGTGACCTTTCCACAATGGAACTGATTTGTTTGTCAAGAGCTGAGTACAGAGAGCCTCCAAACAGACCCGTTTGTTTGTATGAAACTACAGTTCAAAGGCATTGTTTGAAAGGACAATGAACATGTTAAGACTAGATGTAGACAAAACAATTACAAGGATTTCAGTAAAAAAAAATTGTTTATGCCATGTGCTATACCTCTGAATATCAATCAATCTGCACTCCTTCCCAGGCATTATGCATTGCTGTTTGTTTCATATGTTAGTACAGTGGAAATAATTATTATGCTGTTAGTAACAAGTACATTTACATTTTAGACACAATATTGCCAGTTCCTTTGTCTAATTTTGCTCCACCAAAATAGTTCAAAACAAAGTCAAAGAATCAACCATTGCATCTCCAAGCATCACACAGAAGTGGTGTTTCATTCCTAAATGAATCAGTGTTTTAAAAGAATTGTCTGAGTGAGTGATTCACTAACTCACTCATGAAGACTTGTTTAACTGATTTGTTTCATTCCAGATTGAAGTGTGTTTAAATTAATCAGTTCAGTTAATGATTTGATGACTCAGTCATTAAAACATCACTTGTTTTGTTCCTGAATGAATCAGTGTGTTTGAATTATTCAGTTCAATGAATGATTTGATGACGCTTATAAAGATACAACTTGTTTGTTTTGGTTCTGTGAATGATTCAATGATTCACTCATTAAGACAGCCACTTGTTTTGTTCCTGAATGAATCAGTGTGTTTCAGTTCAGTGAATGATTCAAAGACTCACTAATTAAGACAGACACTTTTTTTAGGTCCTGAATTAATCAGTTGAGTGAATAATTTGATGATTCGCTAAAAAGACACTTGTCGCCACCTACTGGTGTGACAATGTTATCATACAGAAAGAGTCACTTAAAAATTGCACCATTGCACAGACTGACAAATGTACAAACACAGACAAGAGGAGAGATACAAACAGTGAAAAATCCTGTTGGACTGTATATCAGCACTCTTGGCACACTGCGTAGCCAATCAAATCTGAGGACTGTTGTGTAACTGTTAGCTGGTGTTTCTCATCATGACATATTCCAGCTCAGTTAAAGCCCACCACAGATGGACCGTGGCTTCTCGTTGGGCCCGGCCTGACTAGATGCTTCCCAAGCTAATAGTCCAAACTGCAGTACATCTGCTAGCTAGACTTTTTGGCTTTGTTTCTCGCTCTACTCTTCCTCTCCCCCTCTTCCCTACACTCTAAATTCCCTCAACAGTCTCTAACAGTAATAATATTTAGCTGTAGTGAGTCCAGAGCTGCAATTTACTAACAAGGCTGGCACACAGCAGCTCCAGGCCCTGCACAAACACCTGCATCATGACTTCACACAGGGTTTCTTCCTCCTCTGTGGCCCTCTTCATAGCCGTCCTCAGACATTTTTATTTTACAGTCAATCCTAAAACTAGCTGCCATCTTACCCCAGAACACACACAGGGACACACAGGAGCATGAATGGTCTCTGATTCCTCATACTTAGCCGATTGCTTAATAAATAAACCAGTCTTATAATAGTATTCAAATGCAACTGTTTTAAAGGCACAATATGTAAGATTTTTTATTAAAATATCCAAAAACCACTAGAACAGTGTTATATATTTTGCTGACTTGTGTACTTACACTATCCCAAATGTTTCGAAGAATGTTTAAATCCAGAGAAATAAACTATTTTAACTAGTGACACGGAGCGTGTCCGTAGTGTCATTGTGTCGCCTGCCAATGACGTCATAACCCCTCAATTTCCGGTTTTGTTTTGTAGAAAACATGGAAAAACCAAAGACGCTTTAATATG